ATACAGTCTGTCTGGGGCACAGTGAACTAACAGGGAGGTCAAATCTGATGCACCTTTCTATCATTGCTTATGCTAGATCACAATGCAGACAGGATTTGCTTCAGTTCCTTTTGAAAGGAATTTAAATGTTCCAATTAATTTAGAAAAAACAGGTTTATTAATGTAACCAAAATTCTTTGAGACAGTCTGTACCTAGATTCACACTGGCTGTGAACAGGGTGAAATGTCAAAGGAATATCAATCAGGCCTGAGGGAAGGATCAAGGACCATAAAAGCAAAAGAATAGTCAGGGAAGAGACTTTAGTCCAAGCCCAAGTGGGCAAAAAGAGATTACGTTTATCCAGCTGACCACAGGTGGCACAGACCTGGAAGAAGTGGGGAACAAGGTCTGAAACAAGCCTGCATTTTCCTCTGTAAAATACTGGAGCATCACAGGATGAAACATGACGGTGTTTCAGCAAAAGAGTTATGACCGTAGCTAACAGAAGACAAAGTTTCTCCACCCTGGGATGCCTGACCAAAAATGTATATGTGGGTGAGAGTGGAGGGAGAGGCTGGGTTAGACAGGGATGTTAGGAAGCGATATTTCAGCGACTGGTGGGTAGACATGGAAGATCCGCTGCTTACGCAGGTACAGCAGGCAGCAGTGACAACTAGGAACACTAGTCAAACCAGTGCTGTAGGAGTTAGAAGAGGGGACTTAGCTCATCTCAGTGAAGAAGATGAAAGAGATCTGAAGTGTTTCCAACTCACCATCTTGACACTCCAAACCAGAGCCACAGCCCAGGAAATCAGAATTAAGAAGTGAGGCTCAATGGCCTGCTAGCCTCTCTGGCAACTTCAGTGGTCTGGGACCTCTCAGAAATCTTATGCAGCTTTAGGAAAATCCAGATCTGGTGGTATACTTCACATCACAACACATGCCCTGTTCCCAGAATTCTCCTCTTGCATCGGCACTGGCAGTGTTATCCAGTGGACTGGCTTCAACCAAGGAAGAGACATTTGCTTGTACTCGATACAGATCAAAGGTTTTGAAGACCTGCAGACTGCCCGTTTATCTGGTACACGCTACCTGTTCAGTAAATGAAGGCACTTTTTATGGGTTTCTAGAGGAGGTAAAATCCTTATAGAAGATGCATTTGACAACACCGTCAATGAGGGATTTGAGAAAACACAACACATGATCAGATCATAAAAACGGCAGGTAAAATTTGGGTGAACACTTTGCAAACAGGTGCTCTGACATTTCAGCTGATTATAATGTTGAAAGAAACAGACATGGTGTTGGGCTTGCCCACTTTATATTCTCTTCTTCCACAAAAGAGGCAGGACAGAATACAAGCATGCCCACACAGACTCTGGCTGGGGGAAGGAATTTCTTGGCTTCACTGACAGTAGGTATAACACACCCATAGTGAGACTTACATGGAGACAATCAGCTGAAGAAGTAATTCTTGGTTTCATCCCCATTTGCTCCCTCCTCCTAGGGCCACATAATAACCACCTCTCTAGCCAAAATCTGCTGTTCCTGAGGTCTGTTTATTGTCTATCTAATTTAAAAAGATGCTTCTTCTCAACCACTGCAGTTCCATTTAGCACCTGTTTTCAAATTAACTTGAAAATAGTCCCTCTGCTAAAGAAAAAGTGCTAAGAATTTTTCTCCATTTTAAATTGTCACTTCATCTGTTCCAGAACAGGCTTTAAAAGCACTTTTTGCTGCCTTCAATGATTAAGATTTGTAAACCATTTTTTTCTGTTTTTATAAATCTATCATGAAACCATCCAACACAAGCTCTGAATTACAGAAAAAGGCATATAGACAAGTATCTTAACTGATAGCTTATTTGTAAATACATACCTTAATATAGACTTAACTGATAATGTTTTTGTGGGACTATAAGGGAGACAGATTTTCTGAGTACCCTGTAAAGAAAAAAAGCTAGGAGATATTACAGGACACACTGACTTGTTCTGTTTATTCAAATAGAAACATTAATAAAACCAATTAAGTAAAAAGACCCCAAAGAACAAAACCATGCTAGTTTTACTTAGCCATAATTACTACTGATTGGGGGCAGAGGTGGTTGGAGGGCGTAAAGAAAAACTGAATGTGAAGAGTCATGGACTGGGCAAAATTATTTTTTACTTAGTTTTGACTACCTTGGCATGTAGTATGAGAGCTGCTGAAGCTAGCAGACATTACAGACTATTTGTTTTAACAAAAAAAAAAAGTGAACAATGCATGCATACAGGAGAGTTTTCAATTAATTGCTTGGATAAAAGGCTCTTACGGAACGTTAAGTGAAAAAAAATTCATTAAACAATATTAGTGAAACCAGTATCATACCTGCCTATTTTCTTAATGTTGTATAAGAAAATCCTAAAAGCAGTATAAAGTCATTGCCTAAATTCATCACAGGACATAATCAAGAACAATTTAGGCAACACTTCTAAAAATAACAGAGTTGCAGGTAAGAACAATTAAAAAGTATCTGGCATCACAGATTTCTGTCAGAAACTTTAGTACAATGTTATCTACAAAGCTAGTTTAGTTTTATCTACTATGGTAGAATTGTATGTTCTTATTGTATAAAATGAGAAATATGTATTAAATACTGAAATTCTGAAGAAAACAAAAAAGTGTATGATAAACATATCCAAAACAAACAAGCAAAAAAAAAAAAAAAAAAAAAAAGTCAGAGCAGCAATTAAATATTTGTTTCTTACTGTTTTTCTCCAAAGTATTGAATGGTATTGAGGAACGCGCTGATTATTTTGGTCAGACAGTACAACAGACAGAAAGAAAGGGTTCTTCTCTGCATCTGTACCTATATAATTTTGATGAACTGTCAGGGAAAAACAAGAAGCGTTATCAACTGTAAAGATGACACGCACACACACACTTGCGCATGTGTGCACAGAGACACATGTGCATAAATATGTAAATATATGCATTCATATGTAAAAATATATACTTATCCACATAACTAACTATGTATTTATATACGGGTGTGTAAAAAACCCAAGAGACAGGTACAGCCTTCAAGGCCAAGAAGGGTTTCAAAACATCCCTTTTTGGTAGCAGGGCTTCTGCCACGTAGAGAAACCGATCATTTGTCTTCAGGTTAAAAATACATGAAACAAGAACTTGTTTTCTGTACAGGACAGAAAACCTATTAATAATAATTTAATACCATACTTTTTTCCATATTTATATGATAGAAATTCAAAGCCACATTGAATTTTCATTGATGAAAACTTCAAACTTCAATCCATTCACAAAAAGATAATTACCTTTCCCTAAAAAATATTTTAAATACCATCTTGTATGATACTCTGGGTTTTCCAAATGCACATCCGTTCTGTGCCAGGTACCTGGAGTGTAGTCTGTATTCTGAAATAAAATTGGAAGACTGTCAGATCAAATGCCGAGTGAAAAAAAAAAAAAAAAAGGAGAACATAACATAGGCAAAAGCCAATCAAGAGTGGCTGACTCGCCAGAAGAGTTTTAGCTGTATACTGTTTTTTAAAAAGCAAAGAATTATTCTGAAGTCAGTTGCTGTGCAGCTGAAGTTAAAATTTCTCCCTCTCCTCCTCTTTTTTCCCCCTCTTCTCCTTCTAACTACAGTCTTTTCCTGTGGTACCACCATTACAGGTAATAGCTTAGTATTCCACTGAAAAGAAGATATTTCAATGTGGGATTTGAAGACTAGTGTTTCTAAAAATTAAAAATAAATAAACTAATAAACAGAATTCTGCCTCCAGGTTTCATTTTCTCAGTTCTTCCCAAAATAATCCTCAAGGACTCCTCACTAGGCCAGAGTATGCTTTGGAAGTTCTTCAGTGTTGTTTCTGGATTGGCTGCTTAAGGTGAATTCCCAAGCATCCCTCAAGTCCTTTTCCACTAAGAATTAACATATGCAGAGAAAAAGCCATTCTCCATATCCTTTCACCATGTGGCCCTTCATCACCCACTCAGAGAATCTTTCTGTGATACAAGCTAATCAGCTTTTGAACTGCATGAAACTGAACTAAAAAGACAGTGTGCAGAACATGACCCCACAGAGAATCAATGCAGAATAGTTAGATTGCTTTAAACTCTACACCCAGTGCTGACGCAAACAGCTGATCAGTCATAGTTTACTGTTAATACTAATTCAATACAAGCTTACCAAGGTCTTACATATATTTCAAGAACACGAAGTCTTGTTTCTTTCAATATCAAGATGATATTTACAGAAGAAAAAGTTTGGCAAAGGAAGATAAAAAATGAAGATCACTGGAATGGTTGCAGGGACACACCACAAGTTTAACGGCACAGGAATCTGGAGGGAATGACTCTCAGGCTCCACTCAGCTGCTTTATCTCTTATTTAAAGATAAGCATAGCTGCCAAAAGACAACTAAGGGGGAAAAAATGAAGCTATAACCTCATCACACCAAGGAATAAACTTAAAAGCACAAAGTTCAGCTTGAACAAGCGATGAACTAGAGACTGTGAAGTGTTATTCAGAGGGTAAGATAGGTATTTTTCTTCTAACGTGATCAGGTGAGCAAAACGTTACCAAAACTAAACAAAATACCAGCTTTTCCCTTGAAAAATTAAATCGTTGAGATTGCATACTCTTGAAAGAAGAGCTAAGCTGGGCTTTGGGGGAAAAAAACCCACCACCTCCCTCCTCTTAGATTCTTACATTCTCATATTATTTAGCATTTTTCAAGTCCTCTTCCTTAGTAACTGGCTGCAAATATATCTTTCAGTGGTGAAGAATAACTGAAGCTGAATTATTTCTTCAGCTTTCTATGAGTATCTTTAGCCACTTACCTCACCAGAGGAGCCATTTTCCACGCGGAACCGTCCAGCTCTTTGAATGGCTCCATCAGCATCACTAGATATAAGCTATAAGAGAGTTTAAGACAGAGGTTCTAGTTCCAAGAATAGCCATATATCAGCAATCAAAGCTTACTATGGTTTCTTCTCCCAGGCATCATATGACTACCCACAGAGGAGGGATCAGCACAGCTATTACTAATTTGACTATAGATTTGGAATGACCCAATTATAACTCTAAAGAGGCATGAGCGGGAGAGCCATTCACTCTTTTGGTAGATCCCAGTACTAATCAGAAATTCTCCTGTCTCAGATTTTGGCTGCACCAACACACAGAATGCCTACGGAGGGACTTGTCTGCTTTCCAGAAATTGATCTTAAGGCTTGCTCCTTTCAAAACAACGGGTCTTACAGACACGACGATTCTTGTCCTCTCAGCCTTGCTAAGCCTAAAACTCTACCTGTTGGCAGCATTACTGGGACTAGCAGTGTTTTACTGCATTTTATTTATTGATGTTTTCAGGAGACAGAGAGCAGCAAGAATCTCCAAACATAATACTAGTGATGATACTGAACAACATAAGGTACAGGAGATGTCCTGGTCTGCTTCCAGCATTAACATCAGAAAATACAGCTTGTTTCCAGCTGAAGACTTCAACAGCTTCGTAAACACTCTGGAAAGACCACCTGGTCTTTTTATAAGGGAATCCAGGGATTCCCAGAACACTGAAACTCTGTTGTTAAAAAAAGCTCTTGAGAAGTCAGTAAAACATAGGATAACACGACAATTCTGATGCGTTCAGCAACACTGCTTAGGATCCCTACAAGAGAAGAGGAGGAGAGTGCTGCCAATGATATTGCATGTTACTCCTCTCAGAACTGTAAAAAATGAGATTGTCACATATCATACCAAACTTATGAAATGGGACCTGAACAATAATGCAATGGCACATCATTCCTTGCTTCCCTCTACCAATCCATGTTATTCTAGGATAGTGCTTTCTCCCTTTACTTGGTGAAGGAGTTATCACAACATTTTCAAGTTCTCTTTGATCCTTGTTTTGAAGTGATCTGAGGCTATATCAGGAATAAACTAACACGGCAAAAACTCCAACACATGCTGGTGCCTTGTATAAACTGTAAGAAAAATTATATGGACAACTGGTCGTATTACACCAGTGGGAAAGACATAGGAAAAAACGTTTAGAGAAGAGACAAAATAATTGTGTTGTAATAAATAAAAGGTGGAAATAATTGAGCGACTGAGATGCTGCTGTGGAAAATATTAAGCAAGAGAAGTTCAATATTAAACATTTAGAAATTTGAAATGGCAACAAGCACCTTTATACATTTGCACACCAAAAGATAAAAACACGTTTTCATAAAATATTAGCAGAATTTTAAAGAAAACCAAAGACAAGACCATTGGTGTGAGGTTACTGTGAATTTATAATTACCAATAAATTTTTCTTTTCCAGCTTTACTACTAAGTACTAGTAATGAAAGAGCCTCTTCACAGAAAGCAGTTCACTTGCTTTTTTGCTTCAAACACCATACCTAATACGCAGAATGTATGGAAAGAAGCAAAACCAAACTGGTGTTCTTGCAATGCAACTTCCAGCAACTAAGCCACCAATTTACATCCAATTTACATACATATTAATAAAAATAGTATCCAAGAACTTTAAAATACAACTATAGCTAGTAGCAAATTAGTAAGAGAGATGGAGTTTGGTTTCTTTACCCCTCCTCACTTCTGTTTTCCTATAGTAAGTTTATGTAATTTCATTATGGTCTTGTATACAGAGTGACATTATTTCAACTGTTGACATACTGCTATTTTCACAGTGGAGAAGAAATTTATATATGAGAAAAATGAAGTGCCAACTTAATCTTTGAATTTGAAGAAAACGCAGAATAACTGACAGATTTTAGGGAACGGTTTTCAATATCCGTATTCTGACTAGTTCTTTTAATTTTAAACCCTCTCCCACAACTCTGAGACATGTACCATAAAATCACATACACACATATATATGTACAAACACGAGTGAACACACAGTTTTCAACTCACATAATTGCAAGTACTTAATCAAATACTACCCTAATATTTTGCAATCTTCAGCTTATAAGATGAAAAAAGGCTCAATTTCCATCTGGGGGCGGGGGGTAAACAGGACATTTATACAACACTTCCCATCCCGTTACGATGAACTATTCATAAATTTCTAGTAAAAAGATTTCCTAGCACAAGTCTAATACATCTATTCTGAAGCCTCTTTTTATTACCCTACAACTTTCAAGTCCAGCTTAGAAAGCACATTTTCCAAACTAGATCCAATTTTTTACCTGGAAATGAAAAGGATTTGAGCTCTGCATTACAAGCTGCTAAAATCAAAGGACAGGCTATGTAAACTTACAAGCTCCACAGATCCGTAATGCTTTCTGCTAAACTCTCCACGTCTGCAACCCAGATCTTCAGAGACAGAGCTGGAATAGAAATGCTTCATCAGTGTACACAAGTCAACTAGCCTTAGATCTTCTGCAACGCTATACCCTGCCATTAACAAATATCATTCC